GTGTGTGTGTGTGTGTGTGTGTGTGTGTGTGTGTGTGTGTGTGTGTGTGTGTGTGTGGGAAGAGAGAGAGAGAGAGAGAGAGAGGGTATACCCCCTGGTTCGGTCATATGTTTTCTGTGCTAAGCACGCCCACGCATACGCCCCAAACGAGGGGGCGCGTTCCAGTTGTTGTTGTTGTTGTTAATTTTTCTTCTTCGCTTTCATTTGAAAATTTTCCAAATATTTCTGCTAGATACACTGGCAGAAAAGATGGGCTTGTATGTGATGTATGAATAGAATGAGAATCTATATATAATGTAGTATAAAAATGCCTTTAAAATGAAATAAATTACAAGTGGAATACATTTATTAAGCATTCCTAACTTCTGCCCTTTTCGCTCAGTGTACTGCAGAAGCTGACAAGCTTCAATCAGCCGATCATACAGAACATAATAATGTATATAAATATACTTATGTACATATATATTAATCAGATCTGGCAATTTGTTGTCGCTGACATTTCCTGTTACTCTTTCTGCTTCTTCTCCATTCAATATGCTTGTGTTATATATATTATTTTTTGATGGGTTTTTAACCAGTTTGGCTCTGTGACGCAGATGCGGCCCGAAATGTAGCTAATTAGCAAAAAGTTAAGATCAAATCAGAAATCAAATCAAATCGCATCGAAAATCAGATTCGAGCTACAAAATGTCGAAATCCAAATAAAACTAGGCTGCGGCAGAGTTCAAAAATAAATATATATATAAATTGTATATAAAAAGACAATAAATATATATTTAATTCATTTGTTATTGGATAATTCGATACCCTGTATATTGCATTTAAAAACTCAATTCTTGGAATAGTCGGCAATACAAAATAATCTGAAAACTTGTTTCCCTCGGCATGAATCTCAAGTATTGACTATATAGATACCCTGAAATACGTCAAGTTTGCTCGACTATACCCTGTAATTTTCCCAAAACTTGTACAGCTGCATAGTTGTTAAGCGTACGCATATAATATTGATAGATTGTTGCCTAATAGTATATATACACGGCAAGTCTGAACAATCTAGCTAGTATAGAGCCCAGGTTCCCTGGGGTCAAAAACGCGATTTGCCAATCGAAAGCGACCTATAGAAAGTGAGCTCGAGCAGCACTTGCTTTAGCATCGATTCCATTCAGTTTGGCATTTGTTTTCGTTGATTACCAATTCACTATACCCTGTAAAAAGGCCAAGTTGTACGTACACATTTCTTTGTGTGCTCGAAGCTCGGTTCCATTTTTCCATTGTGGATTTCGACTTGAATTAGTCGCTGCTGCGGCTGCTGCTGACTTTCATTGACGCATTTGATCACCTTGTTTTTATTGAAATTCTGTTTTGTTTTTGTTTGATTTGAATTTGCGCTCTTTGCTTTTGTTTTGCATTCGCTTTGCATAATTTGATAATTTTGCGTTTTTACGATAGCGGCAGGAAAAAAAAACCCGTCGCAGACAACGCGACGACGTCTGGGCCAACCCTATACCCCTAAGCCCCCCTCCCAGCGCCCCAAGTCCGCACCCGATCCGCTCGGATCACGCCACAGTAAAGCGATTTCTTCACCTCGATTCTCGATAGTTAATAGAAATGTAAACAGGTGGGCAATGAACTTGATTAGATTTTTATGCTAGCCAAGTCCTTGAACCCGGAACAACAACAACAACATCAATGGCCAGCCAAGGCGTGCAAGCGAGACAGCGAATGGCAAGTTTGAACTTGACGTCAATGGCGACGGCAGCAGAAGCAGCGCCTAAAGCATAGGCCTAAAAAGCTCAAATAAATAGCTATCTGTCTCTGTTGCACTCTCAGCATGTGTGTGTGTGTGTCTGTGTGTGTGTGTGTGTGTGTGTGGGACCTGTTCTGCTATTGTGGCTCTCTTTCAAGTTCCGCTTTGTCGCTTTGTTTTTGTTTTTGCTGAGTTTTTACTTTACGTTTTAGGCTGGTCGCGACTGCGCGCTAATTTATTGCGTTCTCAAAATCAACTCACACACACACACACACGCACGCACACACACACTGATTGATTATTACTCCATATTCGATCCGCGCTCTCTCACTCACAGTCTTCCTGTTCTCTATGCTCTCTCTTGCAGATTAACGGTACACAGCAGTTACAATCGCCAAGCAGCGCCGCGAGCATTGCAGCCGCCGCCGCCGTTGTCGTCTCTGCCTCGAGCAGTAGCAGCAGCAGCAACGTTGCTGCCAACAGCATCGAGCAGCAGCAGCAGCAGCAGCAGCAACAACAACTAAACACAACGGCAACAACAATGCCGGCGATGCCAAAAGAAAAAGCCACAACTGCCGTTTCGTTAAGTGAGTCAAATTTCTCAGCCCTTAAGCTGGTTGTTGTGGGCGCTATGACGACAGCGACGCGTCTGCAGCAACAGCAACAGCAGCAACAACTACAGCAACACCACACCTGCGGCTGCGGCGCTGTCTCAGCAACAGCAGCAACAGCAACAATCACAGCAGCAACGCCTGCTGGCCATACAGAGAACAACAACAACAACACAACCAATAACAACAGCAACAGCGGCAGCAACAATCGCAGCTATTGCCGCAGCAACATGTATCTGACAAACGGTAAGCAAGATTTGGTGTTTTTTAGCAACAATTTGCTCACGCACTAACGCACACTCTCTCTCTCTCTCTCGGTCTCTCTTTGTCTATCTTGCTCTCTCAGGCTATACTTCGCCGCTGGCAGCAGCCGTGGCCAGCAACAGTTCGTCAGTTGTGTCAACGCCGCAGCGCATTAGAATGTGTTGTCGAGAGTCGCCGTCGTACCAACGTCAGCTGCAGCAGCAGCAGCAGCAACAGCAACAGGAGCAGCAACAGCAACAGGAGCAAGCGCCTACAGCTGCACAACAGCAACCACAACAACAACAACAACAGCAGCAGCAGCAGCAGCAACAACAACAACAACAACAAGTCGCGCCGCCTCCTCGCCGTTCGCCCAACGATTTCATCTTTGGCCGTTACATTGGCGAGGGCAGCTTCAGCATGGTTTACCTGGCCGTGGACATACACTCGCGTCGAGAGTATGCAAGTGAGTAGCGTACCAAGATATTGATTGAATGATTGACTGGCTGGCCGAGTGTTTGCATTTGAATTTGAATTTTATTCATTCACACCTGTACTAAGCCTCCCCCCCCCTCCCACACGCCCAGCCGCATTGACAGCATTTGTGGGGCTGCTTGGCGCCGGCGAGTAACTAGCGCGAAATGCGGTCGCAAATGCAGACGGCGCCAACGCCAACGCCAACGCAAGTCACCTGCTGCTGTGGCAGCGGCTGCCAACAAATCAAAACACACACAAACAGAGAGAGAGAGAGAGAGAGACGAAAGCAAACTGAAACTGAAACCAGCTGTTGCTGCTGTGAAAACGTTTCTTGCATTTGTGTCGGCTGGCAAATGCTATGCGAATGCTATGCGCCAGGCGACAAAGTTGTCAAAGACAGGCAGCAGGGAGGAAGAGAGTGAGAGAGACGCCAACATATAGAAATGTTGCTGATAATCCCATACATGTATTTTGCTGGTCACGCGGCAATCACGTGCATCTATCGCCCTCTCGCTCGCTCATTTGCTGTTCACTCGGCTCAGTCGAGTTTGTTTTGATGTATAAATATTCATGCATATATACATATTTATTGGAAATTTCATCACAGCTCGCACAGCCCAAGACTTAGCCTAATGGCATTTTTATCTCACACAAAAGCTATGAATAGGGGCAACACACACGCACACATACACACAGGCACCCATACTTTGCGCTGTCTTTGACGTCTTTTGATAATCAACACATCAACAATAGCAACAGCGACGTCGACGTCGACGTCGTCGTCGTCTCCTCTGCTGTGATAACGCTGACAGCGACGCCCGCACGCAATTGACGACAGTTTTTGCTCTATTATTAATATTGTTGCTGTTGTTGTTGTTGTAATTTGTTTGTTTATCGATTGAAACAAAAAGACCGCACAGCAGGCGCAAAGCTGATGTCGCTCAAGATCAGCTGCTGCTGCTGTTGCGTCAGTGCGAGCGAGAGAGGTGGGCAGCACAGGAACGGAACGGCGCCCGCCTCCCTTTCGCGTCTCACGTTTCACTTTCTATGTTCCGCAGCAACAATAACTATCTAAGCGCATGCATATCTCTCTCCCTCTCTCTTTCTCTCTCTCTCTCTCGCTGGCGTGGCGCTTGCATGCAATTTGCTGTTTATTTTTGTGCTAAGCCAATTTGCTTTCAGATTTTGCGCCAGCAACAACAACGGTAAATCAATAAACTAACAAAGTCGCGGCTTTGGCACGTGTCGCGCGCTGCTTGCAAATGCAAACGCAGCTGCAAATTGCATTGTATGCATTTTATTTCTGTACTCCCCCCGCTCCTCACTCCACTCTTGTTTTATATTTTCTTTTAATGCGAAATAACAAAAACAAGTGAAACGCGCGCAAACGGCGCGTGTCTGCAATAAGCTTTTGACTTTTTTCAGTTTGTTGTTGCCGATAAAGCACAAGTATAACGGGACAACAACAGTAGCAGTAGCAGAGGCTGCATCAGGTGCATGTAAAGAAGGTAGGGGAGACAAAGACTGAGAGAGAGAGAGAGAATACAGCACTGTTTATGTGCTTACTTTGCGTGCAGGGCGCTTAGGAGCGAGCGAGCGCGCAAGAGTGGGTGTGCGGTAACTGTTGTTTTGCTGTCTGTCAGGAGGCTCAATTTGTGTCTAAAAATAAATGGCAGAAGAACAGTCGTATACAGTCGTAACAGCAGCTCAGCAGCAGCAGCTTCTGCTGTTATCTTCCATCTCATTTACATTTACTGGAAAATTAACATTTACATCAGCTCGAAATGACTTTGCACTTTCGACTTTGGCTATTGAAAAAACAAAAACAACAAAATAACAATAATAAGAAAAACATTGACATTTGTTTATTGCACTCACACTTTTTGAAGGTCAACATATGTTTTGTACCTTTTTTGTTTTTGTTTATTATTATTATTATTATTGTGCTTTATTAGCACACATTTTCCAATGGAACCGAGCGCAAACCGAATTCAGCTTGAATCACAATTATTGTTGTTGCTCTTAATTTGCTTATAAACATTTTTATGGACTTGTCTGCAAACATGTTGCCAACTGTAACGCCCACTCTGTGTCGCAGTCGCAGTTGCTATTCCTACATACCCCCTCACCCTTCCACCATGGCACGTTCATTCGCAATGAACGCAACGAAATTCGTTTTCGTTTTCATTTTGTCACATGCGTGAGAGGTAAGCAGTGAAGAGATAGAGAGAGAGCGAGACGCATGTACATAAGTGTACTTGCGAATGTGTATGTGTGTGTGCTGTTGCTTTGTGGCGTCTATTTGACGCGCTACGCAAATTCTTTTTACGCATTTTCACATTGTCTGCTGTGCTATTTCATCATTGCTAGTAAAAACGAATGCGTATATACATACATACATATGTATGTATGTATGTGTGTGAGTTCGTGTTTAATTATTGTTGCGCGCAGCTGTGTTGTGTGTAGCCGTTTTTCTTACCTGAGAGATTTGTCTTGTCTTTCTTCAAGCCTCAACGCGTGCTGTTCGCTCGTTCGCTCTAATCCTGCGCAGCTGCAGCAGCTGTTGCTTTTCTTTTTAATCATGCTCACACTGGGAAGTTGTCGCACCTACGCATCGACGAACTGCAACTTGTTACTGGAATGCACTGTTATTTTCACAGACACATGCATATGTATGTATGTATGTATATCTGTATGATCGGACATTGAACTGCTTACTCAAAACTTCCCATATTCCATGCTCTCAAAACTTCCCATATCTCACACATACACAGGCAAGCACACTGAAATCTACTCTAATTTTTTTCCCACACTTTTATTTGGCCACTGAACTTGCAAAAATGTATTTTAGCGCTCTTTTCGCTTGTCTCCCTCCTTCCGACTCTGCTCGCTGCTCTCTTGTCTTGTCTTGTTACTTTTTCAGCGCTCCTTTTTCTCGTGTTCCTCTATGCTTCGTGTGTTATTTTTAATTACAGCAGCAGCTGCTGCGCAGTCGCAGCTGTCTTAAGGGTATTTAACCTCAGCTCGCTCTCTCTATCTCCCTCTGACTGTCTCGCTTACTCTTTTGCTTTCTTTCGTATTAGTTTGGTTCATTCAACTCGTATCCTCTTCGCATGTCCTTCTTAGCTCTTGTTTCATAACAATGTTTGTTCTGTTGCCATTTCTGCTTCTGCTGCTTCTTCTGTTTGCACCTGCGTGAATACACATTTTGTTTTTATGTACTGCAGCTGCCGTTTGTTAAGTATGGAGCCACGTGGCAAAAGGCCTGCTAAGCTACCCCTCCCTTGCCCCCACTCGCTCCTCCTCTCTGTTTTTACGAGCGAATTAAGTCGCGCCAGGAAGTCGGCTGCTGCCTGTGCCTTGGCCTTGTTTTTATTATTCCACACAAACACACACATAGTACATGTAAATAAAGGAGTATGGGACAGTGAGAGAGAGAGAGTAAGATAGCACTATCTGCTGCTCACTTGTTGTGCAAATTGTCGTTTGTTTAACAACCAAATTCAAAAAATAAAAAAAAATAAGGAAGAAGGACCTTTGCGTGCCGTCAACATGTCGTTGGTGCCCCCTCCGTCTCCCACTGCCCAGAGGGCAATAAACTTGGCATGCAACAACAATAACAGTAAAACAACAACAGAACTGTTATGACTCAGCCGACAGCAGCAATAATGAGAGGCGCGCTCTTTGCCATATTCCACTTTCCCACATTCCGCCCATTCTACGAGCCTTCCTTCGACTAAAACTACTCCTGTTCTGTTGCTACCTGTGAGCCGTGCTCTGCCTTTGCCTATGCTGCTTCTTCCTCTTCTTCTTGCTCCTGTCATAAGCTGTTTGCTTATGCGCGACATATTTAAATGAGTTTCAAGCGAAACGTCAAATTACGTCACATGATGAGCAAGCATGATGCCAAAGAGTGACAGAGCGAGGAGGAGAATGCTGTAGGTGGAGGATGTGGAGTAGGAGGAGAGAGAAACGCCGCCGCCAATGTTCTTTGCCAATTTTGGGCGGCAGTCTCTAATTAATGAAATTGAAATGCGAAACAATGCGAAATGGCACACATACACAATTTTGATTCGCCGCGGCGAATTCACAATCTTTGTGTCAGTTTTATATGTCAATTCGCCGTCGTGACAATAAATTAAACGTAAGAGCATTAAAAAAAAGTCGCGTGGGTCGCTTTTTGGCGGAGTTACTTTTTCGCTTTTATCAGACGCGAGTAATCAGTTTTATTGCAGAACACCTCGCCAAACCACGCCCCGTACCACCCTGCCCACCTCTCAGACAAATCAAAAGACATTTCCAGACAAAATTTTTCCACTGGAGCAACAGCGGTCATAATAAAGCAAGCATTGCACCCCAAACAAATAAAAATCAAATACAAACACACGTACACCGACATACATACTTACTGTGGTCTTGCCTGCGTTTGCATCTTAGTTCCTTTTGCTCTCCCTCTCTCTCTCTCTCTCTCTGATCTTTATTTACACTGTCTTGCTGCAGTTCAAACACCTCGACAGACTTCCTGTTTAACGTGTTCCAATTCCAAAACATACCCAAACGGCCTTGCGCCCAATTAACTAACTATGACTTTTGGCGCTCTCTCGCTCTCTAACTCTGTGTGCATTGTCTGGAATGTCATCCAGCAGCATTTGCTGCTGCTTGCTGCTTCTGTGTACAGTTTTCTATTTTCATTGGTTTTTTTGGTCATTGTCCTCCAGTTGAGTCTTCTGTCTTATTTATAGAATCGTTTGACTCCACACCAACTGGTTACTATTGCAATTTATGTCTCCCACTGCATTGCAGTTTCTCTCTCTCGCTCTCTCTATCAAACTCGTTGTGCTGCATTCCATTCGAGACGCAACAAGTTGTAATGCACGCGCACATATACATATGCACTTATGCACGAGTGTCTCTATGCGAGCGTGTGTGTGTGTGTATGGACTGCATTTATTTTGGAATTTAGCTCTCTCGCTCAGACGCGCTCGCTCAGATCAGTGGGGCAAACACACGCTTGGAACATTGGGCAAATATTTATGCTGTATTCTTGTTCTTCTTTTTGTTTTCGCCAGCTGCTATTTACTTATGTGTGCTTCTGTTACTTTTTTTTATGTTTTATTATAATAATTTTTTTTTTTTTTTTTGCTTTTTGCACTTGCGCTGCCGCTGCCACCACATCAAGTTCAAGGCTGTGCTTTCGTCGTCTTATCAGGGCATTAAACCCACCAGAATAAAATTGAAAAAAGTTAATTTTTTTAAACGCAGCTTAACAAACGGCGCGCAAAAATTAAAATAAATAATGCGACAACTTTTCAATTAAATCCAAAAACCAAAAGAAAATAGCAAAAAGCAAGAGGCAAAATACACGCGCACTCATTTCCAATACAATCCATTTCCAATCAGAAAAAAAAAATCACACAATTTGCACACACAAAACAAAAAAGAAAAAAATTAGCGGCAACAATTTCAAGGTCAATTTTATTTTTACGCACTTTTTTTTGCCGTGTCTCGCATTTTTTTTGGCATGGGAAATTTAAAACGCATAAAAAAATCGCGCACGGATTTTTATTTGTGTTAATCTTATAATTGCGGCTGTTTTTCACCGTTAGAACGCGTCTGTGTATGCATATGAGTGTGTGTTTATGTTTGTGTGTGTGTCACTCGACAGCTTATCTGCCCCTGATTTGTTTTCTAGACTACAAAACAAAATTCAGTTGCGATCTTGATAAAAGGCAAAAAATATATGTACATACATATGTATATATGCATATGTATGTATAAAAAAAAAGCAGAAACAAAACCAAATTTAATATTTGTATTTTCTATTGCCTATACACACACACTTGGGGCATACATATTTAAGAGATATAGTGAACGTAATTTATTATATTGAACGTTGTTTATTCGCTTTTTCGCAAATCAACAAATTTTGGGTTTAAGTTTTTGTTTTCTTTTCGTTTTTCACAATTTTTCTGCACGATAATCTTTATTCCACTTGAAATTGCCGCAGATTGCAAATTGCAAAATAAACTGAAGAACAAAGCACACAAGTAGACATAACTCATAGTGGGAAAAGCGCCGTTAACCTATTCTCCTCTCTCTGCCTCTCTTCGTCTTTAGTATAGGCCAAATCTCCAACATTTCACATACATACATACATACATGCATATTTCTTTTCTTTGTTTTTTTGCTCAATAAATGTTTCAATGCCAACTGATTCCACAGCCAAGCTTAATGTGTGCTTGTGTGTGTGCAGTTCAACAACCAGTTTAGAATTTCTTAGGGAGCAGCAAAGACAACCGAAGTATATGAGAGCGAGCGCGCGGGGTAACTGCAAACAAGTTCCCAAACCGCGCTCGCTTTCGTTGCTGCTGCCGCTGGCTACGTCGCCGTCGCTGCCACCGCCGCTGCCTTCGCCATTGTCGCCTGTTAATTTAGCAATTTGAACAAATTCCTTTTTTTTATCTTCCACTACTGTGTCTTCCCTTATTGTCCGTTGCTCGCGAGCTCGCTCTCTCTCTCTCTCTTGCATTCATTTCAATAAATCACACGAGGAATATGTATGCCAAATTGAAACAAGAACAGCAAAACACAGACACACATATACATACATATATGTATGTATATACAAGCAAAGCGAAATTAAATCAAAGCAGAAAAGGCGACGAGAGCCACGGGGGCACAGGCGACATAAATCAAAGCTTGCTAGTTAGATAGTTGGTTGAGTGAGGTTTTACAGCGCTGACAAAGTTGTCGCCTGCACAGCTGAGCTGAGCATACACCCATGCAGACACACTTGTGTATATGTATACGAAATTTCGAGATGGTCACCATTGTGTCAAAAGGTAGTAGGGCGCAACAGTGTCGCCTGTGCGCGAATGTATACGTTGTACTCTCATCTCTTTTCATTTGTGTATGTGTGCGTGTGCATTCCTTATGCTATCGCTGAGCAAAATCTCTATTGGAATTTTACAGTTACTGTCAATGCGGCTCTTTTCATTGCTGCGCGCTCAGCTGTTTTTCACATTCAACTAATCCGTTCTCTTTGTTATTCTCTCTGCTTGCAGTCAAAGTGTGCGAGAAGCGCCTGATACTGCGAGAGCACAAACAGGACTACATTAGGAGAGAGCGCGAAGTCATGCACATGATGACCAGTGTTCCAGGCTTCGTCAATCTCTCTTGCACGTTCCAAGACCAGCGTTCCCTCTACTTTGTGATGACATACGCCCGCAAGGGCGATCTCCTGCCCTACATCAACCGCGTCGGCAGCTTCGACGCCGCCTGCACGCGCCACTACGCGGCCGAGCTGCTGCTCGCCTGCGAGCACATGCACCGCCGCAACGTGGTCCATCGCGATCTCAAGCCGGAGAACATTCTGCTGGACGAGGACATGCACACGCTGATCGCCGACTTCGGTTCCGCCAAGGTCATGACCCCGCGCGAGCGCCTACAGGCGGCGGATCTGCTCGCCAGCACCGGCAGCTGCGAGGGCCAGCGACGTCGGCGCTCGGCGCGCAGCTCCGACGACGACGACGAGGACAGCGAAGAGCTGTACGATGAGCTGGAGGAGGAGGAGCAGGACGACAGGCGCTTGTATTACGACTACGAGGACGAGGACAACGAGGACGAGGAGGCGCCGACGGCCAATGGCGAGGGAGTGCGCAGCAATCGCCGGCGATACCCTGGCATGCGAGCGCGCCGCGGTAGCTTCGTGGGCACCGCTCAGTACGTCTCCCCGGAAGTGCTGCAGAACGCGCCGATCACACCAGCCGCCGATCTCTGGGCACTCGGCTGCATCATCTATCAGATGATATCGGGCCTGCCGCCGTTCAGGGGCAGCAACGACTACGTCATCTTCAAGGAGATCCTCAGCTGTGCCGTGGACTTTCCCCAGGGATTCGACAAGGACGCCGAGGACCTGGTGAGGCGGCTACTCAAGATTGATCCCCGCGAGCGCTTGGGCGCCCAAGACGAGTTCGGCTACTACGAGAGCATCCGGGCGCATCCCTTCTTCGCCGGCATCGACTGGCAAACGTTGCGCCAGCAGACGCCGCCTCCCATCTACCCCTACCTGCCCGGAGTCAGCCAAGATGATGCGATATGCACAGGCAATGGCGTCAGCTACAATCTGCCCATCAGCGGGGATCTGGAGCCGGGACTGGACGAGCGGCAGATCACGCGCTTGCTTAGCGCCGAGCTGGGCGTGGGCAGCAGTGCCGCAGCGCCCGCCCACAAGCCGTCCACGGCGAAAAGTAAGTGTTGCACTGGAATGTTGGAATACTGGAATGCATTACTAATGACCTCGCTCTCTCTCTCTCTGTTCCTTTAGATTCCTTTGACTTGAGCGACGCTCAGAAGCAGCAGCGGCTCGAGGCACAAAAGTCTGACAAATGGCATTCGTTTGCCGACGGCGAGGTGATCCTGAAGCGCGGCCTGGTGAACAAGCGCAAGGGTCTGTTCGCCCGGAAGCGGATGCTGCTGCTGACGACGGGGCCGCGCCTCATCTACATCGATCCCGTGCAGATGATCAAGAAGGGCGAGATACCCTGGAGCCCGGAGCTGCGAGCGGAGGTCAAGAACTTCAAGATCTTCTTCGTGCACACGGTAAATTGCTTTCTAGTATCTTTTGTGGTATTTCTGTTGCTGTTGTTGTCATTCCGCGTTTATTGGCTCTGGGCCTATTTATATTGGTGTTGCTTGTGGCAGTCGCAGCTGTTGACAGTTTGTTGAACCACAGCCACTAATGATGACGTCAAGTGTCATAAAAAAAAAGAACAACACCTACAAGCACACACACACATACATAGAGGGTCCAGTTTATAGCGACGGCACGTGTTTACGACTCAACAACAACAACAACAATAAATAACTCAATTATATGCGACATTGAAAACTGCACACGCAACGCAGATAAAACACGACAAAAAAAAAAAACGCATTAAATGACAATAGTTTTTAATGGCTTTCGGTCACACTTTTTCATTCGCATACACACCCATACATATATACATACATATGCATAACTCTAACCAGTTGCTGTGCTTTGCATACAGTTACACGATCTCTTACGCTCTCTCTCTCTTTCTCTCTCTATTTGCAGCCCAATCGCACCTACTATCTGGACGATCCCCAAGGCTTTGCCATACAGTGGGTCGAGGCAATTGATAACATGTCGAAATTGTGCTACGGCGATCAGGCCCTTAGCTCAACGCCGGCGACGACAACAGGTGGCGCCAGCGATGCAGCAGCGGCGACGTCGACTGCGACGACGAGCATCTCCTCGTTCGCCTGCTCGACGGGCGGCAGCAGCAATAGCCTCGCCATCGTCGGCAATACGAATTCGCCTGCCTCCAACAACAGTTCGCCGACAGCGCGGCGAAGTTCGCCGGCGCAGCGACAGCAAATGGAAACAACAGCAACAGCAACAGCAACAACAACATCGGCAGCAGCAACAACAACAACAACAACAGTGAGGGGCAAAAAGACAGCGTCCAATTGAACAGCTGAACACGTGTCGTGACTGTTGTCGTTATTTAGATTTAAATGCAAATTAAATTCTAATTTAGTTGAAATTTAGTGCAAACAACAAACACCTAGAAGAAACCTACACACCCATAAATACATACACACATACACACTGAGAAATAAGTTAGAAATGCAAGGAATGTGTCGAAATTTGTTGAAATATCAAATTAACAATTTAATTTTCGTGCTCGTCTCTCGTCTGAATGTTTGATCAATTTGTGCATATATAAAAATAGAGAGAGGGTGGGTGAGACATAGACAGAGAAAAAGAGAGAAAGAGTGGGGTGAGAGGGAGTGTAAAACTAAAAAAAAAACATATATAGAATACAATTATAAGCAGAAGTACGTATAAAAAATATATATATAAATAAATTTAAATTAAATTTAAACTAAATTAATTTAAATTAAATTAAATTATTACCACAAACACATAAACATAAACATATATTTATAAAAAAAAAAAAAACAAAAAATGCAAAAAAAAAAAAACAACAAATTATAAATGTTTATGTCCCACTGTGCAGGCGAGCTGCGCACAAGTTAGTGCCTGTTTGCAGCGATAGATGGCGCCAGCAGCTGGTAGGCATAGTTTAAAAACAAATTTTTTTTAGCTCGTAGTTAGTCACAATTTAAATGAATTACAGAAGTGGAAGAAGAAGAGAAGCTAAAGCTGCGGCGCCATTGGGCAGCGGCCACAGCACAGTGGGGCAACATAAGCTAAACTAAAACTAAACTAGATTATATTCAAATTGTATTCAAAACTAGCAAATGATATATATGTATATGTATATGTATATGTAAAATTGTATAACTGTAAAAAATATTTATATATACACACACACATACATACATTAATATTTAAAAAGGGAGAGTGTGTTGTTTTTCTGTCGCCTAACTGTAAATTGTAATCTATGTAAATCTAATATATATACATATATATTTATGTAAACATAATTCTATATATGTATATGTATATGTATAGAATAACTGTACATTAGCTATATGCGCACGTCTAAAGCGAACTAAAACAAATGCCTAAAACGATGAGAAAGAGAGAATAGAATAACCGTAGCTTAACGCGGGCGACACTAGATGGCGCCACACAGCGCACGCTCAAAAAAAAAAAATGTTCTAGTAAGAATTTTTGTTCAAATTTTTGTTTGTTTTTGATTTCATTAATTTAATTTATATGAAATGCTTTTTTGCCCTATAAAGAAACGTATAAGACTTTGAGAAACTATATAAAAAAAAAATAAATAAAAAAAAAAATTTATGCAAGCAACACAAAAACAAAGAAAACTAAAAATAAAAAATATATAAATACAAGAAAAAAAAAAATATTATGTAAAAAAAATTTAGTTAAAATTAAATTTGGCTTTTCATGCAAAAAAAAAAAAAAAAACTATATATATATAATATTTGTATTTATGATTTTGTGTAATTTTTGTTGTGTTTTTGCTTCGCATAAGACAGAGTAAGAGAGAAAGAGATAGGGATAGAGCAGTGTAAAGTTAGCTTGAAAAGTAATGCAAAAACAGGTATAAAAATTGAATTTTAAATAAATTAAACAAAAAAATAATTTAACTATAAAAAATTAATGAAATATAAATTAATTTTTTTGGTTTATAAAAAAATGGAAAAAAGTTTCTAAAACTCGCGCGTATTTAGTTGAATTGTAAAGCCTAAGTTATGCCTAGACCACGCCCCCTACAACACACCTACATACATACACACACACACACACACACACACACTCAAACTACTTAGACTTAAGCCTGTGAGAGGAAGAGCGAGCGAGAGCGAGAGCGAGAGAGTGGTTATGAAAGAAAGCAAAAAATACATTTGTACATACATATCGCGTCCCACATTTGTTTTCAATGATGGGCGTGGCCGTAGCAGCAATTTACCTATATATATATATACACGTATATATAGTACAGTTAAGTTACGCAAGTATACAATTAATTCAATTAAAATTAATTAAATTAAACTAAATTATGAACTAAGCTTAACAAAAATTGTATAATTTATTAAATCGCAAAGAGAGTTATGTAAGCAAAAACAAAAACAAACAACAAACTAAATAGTGAGAGCAAATTATGTAAATTATTATAAACACACTCACACACACACACATACACACATAGCATATATATGTATATATAACGGTACACACATCTATATATATATATATATTTATATATATATGTATAAATTAAATTAAATTGGTTACAAAAAATACAAGAAGAAGAAAAACAAATTGAGAACGTATCATTAAAAATTACAAATTAAAAAACAAAATCAAACAAAAACAAAATATATTAATGAAAAAACATAAAATTTTCAAAAACTACAAAAAAAAAATTATGAAAAAATTGTTTTTATTTCGCTTTGGTTCACAAAATTGGCTGCGTTTTTACTTAGAATTCGACAAAAAAGAGAAGAAGCAGAAAGCTCGATGATGAAGGAGATGACAAATACTTCCATTATAGTTCCATCATCCAAACATTTTCCCCCCTTCCCACATACAAAATGCAAATTGCAAAATCTAGAGAACTTAAGCATAGGTTTCGACAACAACAACAACAACACTGTAAAAAACTACACTGAGCGAAAAAGTAGATGTCTATTTAAGAAAGAGAAGAGCAGAGAAAAGGAACAACAGAGAAAATGAGTGCAGATCAATTGAAAGAAAAAGAGAGATAGAGTTGGAGCAATCCTCGGATAACCGAAGCTATAATACCTTTGCAGAACTCTCTAGAGATCAAGAGAGACAGAGAGGAAAGGACAGAGAGAGATAGAAAGTTGTCAACAGTTGTAGCACTGCAAAGATACAAATAGAGAACTATGAGTTTGTTTCCAAGCAGCGAACGAGACATCAGATATATCTAAAATATCTCTCTCTGTAGAAGCTCTCGTATTGGTATTATACAAAGGTATACCTGAAAAGTTTTTCATTTGATTTCGACTCCTTTATGTGCTGCAGTACCTATAACCAAAGTCCACACAGACTTGAGAGTGAGGATGTAGCCAATCCTAAAGCCCATATACAGACATACGTATATATATAGAATTCTGGACTCCAACATATACACCATTCTTACGATACCCATTAGAAATATCTCATTTTTGCAGCTCTGTCAAAGGAAGAAGAAGAAGAAAGTGCCTAGTGAACCAGTAGAAGAGTTTAGATCCTAAACTTTGTCGATATCTCCCCTATCATAACGAAATATATATGTACACAATGACACACACACACACACATACATATATATATACTAAATACTTGCGAGAGTTGCGTAAAGTTTCTTAGGCCTGGGCAAATGTATACGATTTATATGTAAGGTTATGTTGAAATCGAAACTTCAATGGAATCCAATTGGCGTTGGGGCATTCTAGTTAGAATACAATTGGCAAAGATGGCAAGGAATTTACGGAATGTGTGTGTGAGAGAGTGAAAGAGTGTGTTATATATATAATCTAGTATTAAATAAATCCAATTAGTATCCAATTGGCAAACACCACAAGGAACTCCGTTTTGTGTTCAACGTTGTATGCGTGAGAGAGCAAGAGAGTGTGTGTGAGAGAGAGAGAGAGAGAGAGAGAGAGAGAGAGAGAGAGAGATGTGAGTGCCCGTCGTTAAATTAGAATCCAAATCCTAATTAGACTCCAATAGGCGGCGAAAGAATGATCCTTAAGTTGGAATCCCAATTAGAATCGTGTTTGTAAACACTACAAAGAACTTGGTTTTGGGTGTGTGTGTGTGAGAGAGAGAGAGATAAGGAGAGAAATGTTTGATTTACTCAAATACAATTCAATATCAAATGGAATCCATATTGGAATCTAATGGGAAAGCCTAACAAGGAATTTTGTTTGTGTTCAAGAAAGGGTTAGTAGGGAGAATGAGAGAGAGAGATAGCCAACGATCGGGAGAGGGAGTATGCATGTGTGCGTGTTACTTAGTTATGGCAAATTTTTTAGTGCAAAACATTAATCGATAGTTAATATGCAGACATATTTATGCGTATATATTTATATATAGATATACATATATGTATGTATATATAGCCAATATTAAACGAGTTTATACACAGCTCTATCTGCATATATGCGTACATATATACATACATATGTGTGTATATGGTTCTACATATATTGGAATATTCCACATTGTATATTGATAAATTCGTGAGCGAATCGATCCGTTTTATCCAAGTTCAATCTCTAGGGGTGCTAGACTGAGTTATATATATATAAATATTATATAAATATAAATATAAAAATATATATACATAAACGTAAAAACAAACTCTTAACGTAAACGTAATTCAATTACCTTTTTGCAAAAGAATTAAGTATCAAATACACCAGACTAATTTGCAATCTATATGTACAGACCTACATATTTGTATACCTATATACATATTATATATATACATATATATATATATACATGCATTATAAAGTTAAAACCTTCCATAAACCTGGCCCTAAGGTAATTTCTAACACCAATAACACACACAAATACAAACACACACAAATATATACATATATAAATATATATATATATATATATATTTACATATGTAGATTTTAAGCAGAAAAGAAAACTATAAATTATTATGAGCATAAAATACCTACACAGACACACATACAATTCCTAAGATCGACGAGGTATATACATACATATATATATATATAAACTGTCTAAAATTCGACTGCAATGTTGTATTTTTCAGCACGTAAAATAAACAGAGAAACTAAAACTAAGTTCAAAATGTAAAAGTTCGTTACATTCAGCAGGCAATCGAGCGCTGTTTGACAAAAATGAAAATTACCCCAAATCAAATTCCCCCTTCAAAATGTCCCACAACATAAAAACTAACTACGCAATATTCCCAAAGCAAAAAAAAAAAAAAAAAAAAAAAAACAAAAAAAAAAAAAAAGAAAACACCAAAAAAAAAAAAAAAAAAAAAAAAAAAAAAAAACAAAGAGAAAACACCAGAAAAGAAAATACAGTTTGTTAATGAAAATTGAGGTTTGAGAAATGTAAAAAAGAGTTGCGTGTAAGCGGTTTGATTGAGAATAAAAACTAAAAGAGCAAGTGAAGCAACAGAGAAGAAAAGAAAACGAGAAAATGCGAAAAGTCTTTTAATTTCAACGGCTGAGCAGTGGCATAGCAATCAGCTGCTGTCTGTGCTGCCATGCACTGAACTGCTTGAAACGTAGCGAACCAAGCAGTTAGCTGAAGTGTTATACATTTCGCTCTTGCATAGAGAGAGACAGCCGTTTTGTGCATGGACATGGTCTTGGGCATTAAAGATTTCGCGCTAGTCTGAACAGTGCTGTAGCAATTAGCTGTTGACAGAGCCACCAGGTTATTTGTTAACTAAACCAAGCGGACAGTCGATGTGTTATACTGGCATAAAGCGGGACAACTGTATGAAAAACAGTGATGTAGCAGCGTGCTTTTAAGTGGCATGGCAGATTGGCGCGCGTTTGCACACAATTTGAATGAGCCGCAAATGTTTTAAATTTATCATCATCATAAACAACAAATAATAGTTTCCCATAAGAAGAATCTGATTGAATGATATTCTTTTCTTCAAGTGTCATTTGTATTGATTACTCAGAAATTATGAACGATTTTAAGCTGAAGCCTCAGATATCCGAAGTTTGGATAATTCCCCTCACCATCTGCGGCTACCTGACGGGCATCGGCCTCATCCTGCTCTGGTACGAGTGGCATCCGGGGCTCAAGCCACGAGATGTGACGCAGCGCTCGCTGATCTACGTCTGCCTGGGACTGCTGGGCACCACGATGATCTTCAGTCGCTCTGTGCGGTGAGCAAGTGCATCTGCCAGTGGATCGCCTCTAATCCTCGCCTGCCCTCGCAGCTGCATACTGACCCTCGCATTGCCTTCGCTGGGCAGCAGTCGAGGCCGCGCTCTGCTCATCGCCTTGGCCTTCTTCTTGGCCGCCCGCGGACCCATTGCCAACATCGTGGCCAACCTGATGGCGCTGCTGCGCAGCTTGGCCTGCGGCCAGGAGCTGCTGCGCCAGGCACTGGGCCACATGATCGACATGTTTAAGGAGCCGGTGCGAGCCGTCCAAATGGCCATCGAGCAGCTGCTGGACGAGCTGCGTCGCGTGATGCGCCAGCTGCTGGATCTGCTGGTGCGCATTCAAAGTTATCTCATGGTTATCGGTTAGTCTGGCTCTACCTGTCTCTGTCTCTCCCACTCTCCAAGTGTTCCTGCCTCATTTGCAGTTGATACCTTCAAGGCCTGCGCTGACTGGCTCAAGGCCATCCTGGAGCTGTGCAACTCGGAGCTGGGCACGCCCTGGACGCGTTGCCAGACGGCGGCCAAGCGGGCGATGCTCAAGTGCCGCGCTCGCCTCGGCTTCCTGAAGGCCCTCTGCTACGCCACGAAAATCTTTCTGGCCCTTTGCTATCCTGCCAAGCTGGTGGATGTGTTTTGCGCAGGCGTCTGGGATGGCAGCTGGGAGATCGTGGACACCATACTAGAGCGTGAGTCTATCTCTCTCTCTCTTTCTCTCTTTCGATCTGTCTATTTATGTCTATTTTATCTATTCTTTCCCCATCTCTCTCTCCCTCATCAGGCTACTACGAATTCGTCGCACAGCTGGAAGAAATGTTCGACGTGAGCATCAGCTTCGAGCACCAATTCCACTTCCAGACGAATGCATCCAGGAATCTCTCGGATGTGGGCGACGAGATCATTGAGGACATTAAAGTGCGCATGCGTCCTTTTATGGTCTTCGACAGCTGGCTGGATTTTCTCTGCTGGATCATGGTGCTTAGCATATTTATAAAGTAGGCAGCCATGCTTAATGGACGGACTGACTCGGGGAAGGGACTGACTGATGGGCAATGCAGAGAGAAAACTTTTAGAGTTTCCTCTTTAGGCAGATACAGACTTATTGAAACTAGAAACTAGATTTGACTGGGACTTCATTAGTTGATTAGTCTTGTCATTAACCTCTTTTCTCTTTGCCATTCTCTCCCTCTCTCCCTCTCACACAGATCGATCTACTTCTATCTGCGCTACATGCACAGTCTGAGCTATCAAAACAGATTTCTGACCCGCTCGCTCTATGCCATCGATGCCAAGTGCCGGGAGAGGGGCGCACCGACAGTCATGCCACTGCAGGGCCTGGAGCACTTAAAGTACCGCAAGGTGAGAGCTCTGCAGACATTGATCCACCCATAACTCTAACCTCGAGCATCGCTGCAGCTGGGCAGCATTCGGCTGACTGCCTTGGAGTCTGTGCGGCTGGCCGAGAATGCGACCCTGATGCTCAACACGTGCCTGCAGCTGGGCATCATTTGCCTGGCGGACTACGGCGTCTTCTGGCTGCTGGACATGATCACGTACTACGGCGAGGAGCAGGACGACATCGAGATACCGCCCTTTCTGGACGTGCAGGTCGAGGGCGGCGGCTTCGTGGGCGATGTGATGCGGGGCGTGGCCAATGCCTTCCGGCCGATGTCCCAGCTGCCGCGCGTCAACTCGAAGAGCTGCCTGCCCGAACCCGTGGAGCCGGACTTCAGATACTATATAGCCATCTTGTTGCTCTGCCTGCTCGCCTGGTTCATTGTCTTCGCGGAGCCATATCTGCTGCGCCTGCGCCATGCGATCATGCAGCACTACTATCCGGAGCGAGCCCATGTCCGAGCGGTCTACCTGCACAACAAGATCATTGCGGAGAGAGGTCTGCTCTATAGTTATATACGAATTGGGGGTTGGGTTTATCTGGTTTAGTTAGCTGAATAGAAGAGTCATGAACTAGTTCACTTATTAGAAGATTGAGATTACTGAGATCAAAATTGAAGTCTCACATATATCTCAGTTCTTTCTGTTCATTAAACGAACTATTCTTTAGTCAGTTAGTAGATTTCTAGTTCTACTCCAGTTCAATTTCAGTCTCTCATATACGTATATCCATTACCATCTGATCTATTCTCAATGCTCCTAGTCAGCTTCCTCAAGAAGATGCGTCGCAAGATAAGAGCCACGTTTATGTATCAAAACTCGGACTGCTACAGCTGTTGCTGGAGTTGGATAAGAAACAAATTATGCTGGTTCGTACTCTCTCTCTCTCTCTCACTCTCTCTTACTCTCTCTTACTCACTCTCTCTATATCTTGTTCTTCAGGTGTTGCTGCTGCCTCTGCCTCTCGGGTGGTCCCCGCCAGGAGTCGTGCATACTGTGCGCCCAGCTGTTGAGCTCGTTAGTGTAGTACCTCGATAGCCTCAATTCAAGTCAGTCTCAACCAGGACTACCTACTGCCCTTTACAGCTCGAACCGCGTGCACTGCGACACGCCCAACTGCCGGGGCCTCTACTGCCAGCGCTGCTACAGCGAGTCCAAGCACAAGTGCTGCCTCTGCAGGCGACCCATCGACTATGGCGATCACAGCGACATCTCCGAGCTTCAGTAAGCCTAGCTGTAGACATCGCTGATATCCCTCAGTTGTAACAATAATCGTTTTTTCAGAGACTCCTCCGATGATGCCAACACGGAATCCTATGGCGAAATGCGAAAGAGGATATACTGTGCCAAGTACCGCAGGCAAAAGGACAATAAGAAGCCATGAAGAAGAGGGCGAAGTTGGAGGAAAGGGCACTACACTCATAGCGTTTTATATTGATGCCAGGGCAGCATTTCATTCCTAGTTAATAAGCTATTTAAAGTCGATCTGCATAATAGTTCTTGTATTGTAATCTTTGTTGATATAATCTTACGATTATTAATAAAATAAGGCTTAGTCCATTAACAGACTCTTCCATTCTTGTCTCTCTGAGCTCTTTCCGAAATGTTGTTTACTTTGCGCTAGACTTCATATTCAGAAAGAAAATAAACTGAAATCCATATCACTTCTACAGCCTCAACTCTAAAGTCTAGCCAGCTCAATAAAAATGTCACAATATAGCTTGGATTCATCGTACCAGTCATCATCGGAGGATGTACGTATAGAAGCTGGATCCAGCAGGAAAACAGAGCAGGAGCTCTCAAGCGATAAGCAAGGGCACGACTACGCAAAGAGAGTAATAAACTTTGAACTCCCCATGATTATTCGTCGGCAATGAATTTCAATTACCTCTAGTCCCATTCAGGCTTTGCGCTTAGATATGGCAATATATATTCGCTTTATAGGTCCTTTGAAAGGAACCAAACGGCCACATATTCAACAAAGATGGATTCCAAAGGCAATCGTGAACCAGGTCCCAAATACCGTTCACCCCCGCAAAGAAATTTAATGATCTATGCAATAATTGGCTATATATCGGGCATCATCCTGATCTTGCTCTGGTATCTGTTCCACTATCGCAAGGAGCGCGATGAGCTGAACCTCAAGTGGTTTTGCATTGTGCTGCTCGGCCTGCTGTTCCTGATAATCATCTATAACCGTGCGACCCAGTGCGTAAAACTAGACCTTGCTAGCTGTACTCCATTCACTATTTCTTTACAGATCGATTGGCGTTTTATGTTTGGTCTCCATTTTTGGCTATACGGGGCGCGAGCTATTCATTTCTCTGGCCTTGCTGCTCGCTGTTCTGGGTCCTGTGACGAATATCTTGGGCAATATTGAGATAATGGCGTATAGTTTGTCGTGTGGCCAAACGCTGTTGAGGGCCGCCCTGACGCCCATGCACGAGATCATGGGCTCCCCCGTCTACGTGATCGAGCAGGCGGTCTACACCTGCCTGAGCCAGGTGCGAAATCTGATGGATCGCCTGGACCGTGCACTGCGCAGCATTGAGGAACTTATTTTGCAGCTCTGTAAGTGAGATCCTCTATAGCCGTATGGCGCTAATGCTTCATCATTGACTCCGAACAGACTCGGGTTATCGGAGCTGCGATCATTGGCTGATGCACCAGCAAAGCTTCTTTGAGAACCAGATGGGCTCGCCCTACGATCGGTGCATGGGCGCTGGCATGATCAGCGTGCAGGACTGCAAGGCGAAGTTCAAGGAGCAGCCGTCCGTCTGTGCCCTCGAGAAGCACATCGAGTGGTTCTGCTCGAACCTGAAGGATGTGCCCAGCTTCTTTGACGTGAGCCTGAAGGAGCAGCAACGGATTGTCGATCAGGTCTTTAGCCGTAAGTCCGAGTCCAGGGAAGTGAGAGCTCTCTAGCATTTGCACTCTGTTCGCAGGGCCCATGGACATGTTCGGAAAGATCCGCGCCATGTTCGAGGTGAGCATTACGTTCGACCATAGCCCCAAGTCGGATGAGACTAGCGGCGCCTCGGACAGCGATATCGGACAGAACATCGACGCAGACTTCGATCGGCATATATTCCTCTTCGTCTACCTCTGGCTGGCGGCCATGCTGAGCATGCTGATCGTGCTGCTGGTGCTGCACTCGATCTACTTTCACATCAACTACTTGGACAGCAATCACTATCGCAACTACTATTTGACCAAGGACTTTTTCGACATCAACAAGGAGAAGCCCAGCGGCTTGACGGAAAATCTCCTGCCCCTACGACCCACCGAGCGGAAGACCTTTGTCAGGGTAATTGGTTGACAGTTTGTATCCATCGAATACTGGCCTCAGTTTCCCTTTGCAGCTGGACTCGTGGCGCCTCTTGCCCTGCGAGACGCGTCATGCCCACGTTTCCGTAGTGCTTCTGCTCATTATTAGCTTCCAGCTCTTCACCATTTGCGTATTCGACTATGGCCTATCCTGGATGCTCGCTAATTTGACCTACCACCTGCACCAGACAGCCGAGCTGGAGCGTGAGCTCTCATGAATCTTATGCCTGTCTCAGCTATTTGACTTCTGCTTTCCTTAGCACCCGAGTATACGAAAGTTGTGATTAGGAGTGGTGGATTCATCGCTGACCTCTTGCGTGACTTTGTGCACGCCTTTGAGCCCTTGAGCAAGAACCTCATTGTGGACATTCAACATTGCTTGCCAATGCCCAGGCCACCAAAGTTTTTGCGCTACTGGGAGATTATGATGCTGTGCCTGCTGGCCTGGCTTCTGATCATCGGCGAGCCAATCAGTCATCGCGTGGGCCACAAGATCATGTCCATGTTCTACCCAGCCAATGGGCGACGTCGTGCTGTATTGCTGCACGAACGCCTGAGCTATGGCAGAGGTAGAAACTCTTACCTATCTGCAGTCGATCAATCCGTTCTTATTTCCTCTCCTATTTCCCTCTCTCAGTCGTCTTTATGCGTAAGGTTAGGTGGCGGGCGCAGTTACTTAACTTTTACGTCCCGGATAACTGCAAGTGTCTAACGCAATTGATAGCCAAGATGAGCGGAACCTTGTACAGGTGCGTGAGTGGCTTATATATATTATAGATCATATAATCTCTTGATATTCTCCTGCTAGACTCACCAAGGGCTACCTCGGCTCCTATGAGGGCAAGTACTGTCTTCTCTGCAAGTCAAGACTGATCTAGTGAGCAGGATCGTAGCTTTCTTCCATTTAAGCCACTTTACAGTATAAAATCTTCTCTGCTTGCAGCGGAGGTTTCGTCGTGTGCAAAACGCCCAACTGCAGGGGCATCTTTTGTGAGTTGTGCTTCCTGGACTTGGATTCCGAGTGTCTGGTGTGCTCTCTGCGTATTCGTTTTGACCACATCGTGAATATAAGCGATGTTGAGTGAGTATGAAGTCGAATTGTATATGTGTATGTGTGTATACGATCTATGATCTGTTGCAGGGACTCATCGGATGCTGAAAGCGTGCATAAGGCTTCGCGGCCTGATCCTAATTATGTCATTTACTAAAGCATTATTAAAGACAATTTTCAATTGACAATGAATTTTCAATACACGTAGTTAGAGGCAAAGAGTCTTGATTGACAAAGAGATTTTAAAATAGATTAGTCGATCGGAACTGTTTCTCCTCTTAGGCATCTAGTAATAGGACTCTTGGCTCAATAGTAAACTCCCCCTCTTACTGTTATATATACATACCTATATATCTCTGGCAGAATCTAGGCTATATCAAGTAGTGCGACCGTGCGACACTTTCAAACTCTCCCTCTCTCTCTCTATCAAGCCACGATCAGCTCGTGAGCTCTCGTCGTGCCTTGTCGTGCTTCCCCCGTCCATCTCTAGCACAGCTCGCACTGCATTTCTCTTTGGCAAGCGGCAAAGCATCTTTCTTTTTTCTCTGCGCTCAGCCATCCAGCTGCAGACCTTACTTGGAGCTGGGAATCTCAGCGATTCTGATGAATCGCAGCTTTTATTTAGCAAAAATGACATTGCGTCTGGCTCATCGGCCGGCCTTTAGGCCCGCTCGCCGCCGGCTGGGACTTTGTCATGGCCATCTATAGCTACTGTCAGCTCGTTTGTCGCCTTGTCAAGGCGCTCGCTTGGCCCCGACGAGTGTCCAGTGGGCCACAGCACTTTGTTTTCAATTTGTGTCTGGGCTGGGCTGGTCTGGGCTGGTCTGGTCTGGCTGGGCCGCGCCCCCTTTTCAGTGGCTGGACATTGCGGGCATTGCTTGGCGCACATGTGGGCAACAATTAAATGTTCATTAAATGCGACAAGCACGACAAGCCTCACAACAACAATTAAGTCGGACAAGGATTGGCTATCTGCTGATGATGACATCCTCAAAGCGATGCGACCGAATCAGAGACCCAGACCGGGTCCGGCTTGAGGAATGTGCTGTGTAATTTACAGCCATAAGCGATGGTGGTCCATCCCCCACTCTCCCCTTTCTCAGCACCGTTCTCTATGGCAATCCCTCTCTTATTTATGAGCCACAAATTTTGACATTTATTTCTATTTTGGGCAAACACATATAAAAACTGTAACACGCTTTTTATCTCAGCGGTCGGCGTTTGATCCGTCTCCATACCACATTCTATTCATCTCGCCCATTCGGGCTCTCTAATAAATTCTCTTAATAAATTCTCTGTTCTCTCTCCCATGCTAATGTGTACACAAGTGTTTATTTGTTATTTAACACCCGGAGAAACCACACACTGACCACCATCGTCGGCATTCGTTGGCATTCGTCGCTTGACATTTAACCACACCCGAAGAGCTCGAAGAACTCTCGCTCGGCGGGTCATCGTGTTTGCCCTAGGGCTTATGCGATTGTGTTCTTGGGTTACCTGCTCGGTGGCCGTAACCTGAGCTCTTCTCTTGCGGAACTGTTCAACAAGCCGACTGACTATCCAAGGCATCAACTGATCCAGTTGCAAACCGTTATTAAACAATATTTAAGGGTTGTGAGTATGATCGAAGGCTTTAAGAGTTTTGTGCTTTGTTTGCGGTTCGCGTGAAATGAATACCTTCAGCTCGAACTTGCCAAGTCCTTAACTCTTTTGTGGCCGAGATGTCTTACTTGTTGAGCGAAGTAGTGAGAGAGAGAGAGGGCTTACCGTAAGGAGAAAGGGTAAGGAAAATGGAGGAGTTTTGGTGATTTGATAAGGAAATACCTGAAAAGCTTGTAGGGCATGCGTGATAAGTAATCTAATAATGCATTATAGCATCTTCTTATGAGTAGCCGCACATCCTTGGAGTTATGGGCCCTAGGCAGTTATACTGATACCATTTAATAAACCTTTTGATATAAGCCTCAAATTCAAGATTTTATTTATAATGCTAGACATTGTTTGGACAACACAGTTAGGTCCTTACAGCCTTCTTATTGGGATAGCCGAAGAAGCCGATGCTCTTCAGCTCAATGAACAGCTCCTGATCGTTGCCAATGGCCCTGTAAATGGCCTTCTCCATTTCATCGTACTGAAAATGTGGTGCGAAGGGCATGTCGTTGAGGGCCTCAAACAAAACGTTGCCGCGCTCATTGCCAACGACCAACACCGTGCCGCTATTGGAGAATCTGCAGAGAGAGGAAGAGAGTGAGAGAGAGTAGAGAGTAGATTACAGGGTATTGAGTGTCTCATACTGAGCTATTGTGTTGTAGGAGGCGTCCATGTCGTGCTTGCCCATGGGCTTGAGTATGTTGCGACGCAGATCCCAAATGCTGCACGTATTCCGATTGACAGACACAATAATTGTCGAGTTGATGGGACTCCACTTGGCCCAGTGAATGGGCTGGAAGTCGTCGAGCAGCTCGATCAGCGGTCGGGTAATGCCATCCACCCAGATGCGCACGTACCTAAGGGAGGGAAATCGAGTGGGAGAATGAGTGAGGTAGAGCTAGATGAGTGATTCACTGATGCGTGGCCTCTACCAGTCGTTGCCGCAGGTGAGAAAGAGTCTGGGCGACCAGGGCGAGAACTCCATGATGTTGACGGCGCCGTCATGGCACTTGAGCACCTCCAGATATTGGTGCTGGTAGTTGATGGAGCACTTGTGTATGCAGCCCTCGTCGGTGAGGATGTAGTAGATGTCGTTGTCCACCGGGTGCGTGGTAATGGAGAGTCCTTGCGGGTGCCTGTTGGCGGCGACGGTCATGGTCGGGGAGATGGGCACGTGTATGCCCTCCGGATGACCCTCGATGCGCTCCAGAGTCATCTGGGTGAAGCCCAGGAGATAGGGACTCTTGCCCAGGTGGAAGCGTGTCACGGAGCCATCCTGCGACAGGCTGAGAAACGGATCGATCTCGCCCACATCGTCGTCGCCGACCTGCTTCAGCCAGCGTATGGCGACCACGGGCGAGCAGCCCGGCGAGGTGCTGCGCTGGGAGACGGCAATGGGCATGTTGGTGTCGTCCGCCACATCCCTCACCTCCACGCAGCCGTCGTACATGCCGATGGCGATGAGCGACGGCAGGTAGGGCGAGAAGCACAGGGCTGTGACGGGCGTCTTGTAGTAGTAGGCACGCTCCGGCTCGCCCGGATTCTTGATGCTCCACACGAACACGTCACCGGTGGAGGGCACATGCTGGGAGGAGAAGGAGAACAGGCCGTAGCCAACGGCCACAATGTCGCTGTTGGCGTAACAGAAACTAATATCGCTAACCGCCTTGCGGTCGTCGTTGACCTGGCTGGGCAACAGGCGGAAGAGGCCCTTCATCGAGTACTTGTACTGGACCTCCGTGGAGCTGCGATTCGGCTGCTGAAAGTTGCGGAATCGCTGCATGCCCGAGGTGTAGAAGTTGCTGGAGAGAGTGCGTCCGATGAAGAGTATGGCCTTCTTGAAGACCGGATGCTTGAACAGCTGCTGGGTCACCGAGCGCGCCTTGTTCCGCTCGTGGACCTCCTCCTCGAGGGCGATCGTGGTTCGGGGCTCCGCGCCGCCCGGCGGGCCGGTCTGGCTGATCATATTTTGCGTCATCTGGGTCTGCTTGCTGACCACGCCCTGCAGCGTGTCGTACATCTCGAAGTTGGAGACGTACGAGCCCACGGTGGCGTGACTCACGTAGATCGTATTCACGGCCCGGCTGTTGGTCAGGACTACCTCTGTCTGGGCATCGTTGTCGGACCGACGGCGCACCTTGCCCTTGCCGACGGTGAGGTAGTCGTAGAGGCGATTGTCCGCCTCAACAGCGTTGCCCTGCTCTGTGCCCTTGGCCACAGTCGAGTTGATCTGCGAGTGCAGCTCGATGAACTCTGATTTGCGTATCGTCACTTTCACAAAGGACTTTGTGAAGGGCACGGGAATGTGCGCCGGCTGCTCCTCGTCCTTGTGAACGCCCGCCGGATCAAAGATGATTGCCTCATGGAGAATCTAGGGCGAGAGAGTTATGGGTAGGTGGGGCGAGTTAGCTCTTAGCTAGATCTTACGCCACTGATGAGCTCATCCATCGACTGCTTATTGCCACCCACACCGCCCCGCATGCTCGACCTGGTCTTCGAGCGCAGCATGCTGCCCCGCGTGTGATACATCTGCATCGTGGCTATGTTGTGCATCAAGTGCAGGTTGAACTTCATGAACTTGTCGGTGTACTGCGACTCGGTCAGGGCATTGGGCGTGTAGTCCACCTCCTCGCCATCGACGGTCTCCTTCACCTGGGGGCAAGTGATTAGGATTTATGTGAGCTGCAGTGGTGTGTCTCGCCAAGTCACCTTGAACTGCGAGCGGTAATCAATGTTCGCATTGACCTCCACCGCATAGTAGTGCAGATCGCGCTTCTTCGTCACAAGTGCCGTTGACGATGGATCGTGGGCGACCATCACGGACCGCTTGAAGGTCTTGCGGTCGACATAGCTGGCGCTCTTTAGGTTCGAGTCCATTTCTCCCAATTTCGCCCAGTTGTTCAAGTCTCTCAATCTGCTGGAAGTCTAGTCAAAGTTCGAGTTCAAAGTTGATATTCGTTTGGAGAGACTCGATAGAGAGACTTCAAAGTGAACTCAGTTGGCAGTCGGTGAGTCGGTGCGCATTTCTAAAGTTTTTTTATTGAATCTCGTGGAGTTCTCCGCATTTGATTTCGGCTGTACGAACTTCCCCTGCGCTGTGCATTAGATAAAAGCCAGATAAAGCTAACACTTCGCCCTGGCTAACAACCACCGGCGAAGGACTCGGCGCTTCAGTAACAGTTGAGCTCGCGCGCCGTGCGACAGCAAGGATTTCCTAGCACACGTAACACGTAACAGAGCTAAAGCGGAATTGACTTTGACGTAAAGTTTGTGTTGAAGCAACGGCATATACATACATACATACATATATGTATGTGCGTATATACATATATTTCGATCTAATTGATGTGGTGTTAGACATAAGCTAAATCCAAATAGCAGCTAATTACGAGCATGTCCATTGCACAACAGCAACAACAACTCGAATTGGCATTGCCTTCAATGGATTGCCAAAGTGAAAACCAACTACCAGAAAACTCAATTAGGAATGTTGCAAAAACAGCGGCT